CCAAAGCGGACAATATTGTGATACGTGCCAGAGGGGGGTGTTACATGGACGTATCACAGTACACTACAAAATCCTGCACACCTTATGGAAGGGCTAGTATCGGCGCCTCGCATAACGTCTATCTCAACGTCTCGAATGTTGCCTATTGGCCAGGCCCCTAGCGAAAGACCATGGTCTTCTTCGTCAGTCGGGTCAAGGGTACTAGTGTCTTGGAGAAGTCATGTATGAATCTTCGGTAATAGCCTGCTAACCCAAGGAAACTCTGAATCTTAGATGGAGACTTCAAAACCTCCCATCTCATCACGGCCTCCACTTTGGCTGGGTCAACCAAAATCCCGTTCTGGTTGACAAGGTGCCCTAGAAACTGCACCTTGCTCAACTAGAACTCGCACTTGGTGAACTTAACGTATAAGATCTCCCTCCTCAGGGTATCTAACACCTCCCGCAAGTGCTCCTCATGCTACTCCTGCGTCTTGGAGTAAACCAAGATGTCATCAATAAAGATGATCAAAGACCGATCTAGCATTGGTCTATATATGCGGTTCATGAGGTCCATGAAAGTAGCAGGAGAATTGGTGAGCCCGAAGAGCATAACCACGAACTCGTAGTGGCCATAGTGAGTCTGTAAAGCAGTGTTATGTACATCCTCATCTGTGACTCGCATCTGGTGGTAGCCTGAACACAAATCGATCTTGGAAAACCAAGATGCCCCATGTAGCTGGTCAAAGAGATCATCAATCCTCGGAAGTGGGTAACGGTTCTTCACACTTACCTTGTTCAGCTCCCGGTAGTGTATACACATCCGATGAAACCCGTCCTTCTTCTTCACAAATATGATCGGGCTCCCCAATTCGAATTGCTCGGCCTGTTAAATCCCTTGTCTAACAACTCCTGTAGCTATGTAGACAACTCTTTCATATCGGGAGAAGCTAACCGATATAGTGCCTTGGCTATCAGAGCCGCACCAGGGACTAGGTTGATCCTGGACTTCACCTATCTCTCTAGAGGTATCCCATGCAGCTCCTCTCAAAATAAGTCCGGGTACTCTCGCACCACTGGTACATCACTCACAGTCACCTTACCCACCTCCCAGGTATCCATAATGTAGGCGACATACCCTACACAACCCCGATAAAGGTAGCGCATATCCCTCATTGCTGAACACATAGCTGGTCCATGCTGCGGCCTCTCGCCCTAAATCACCAGCTCTCCCCTACTTAGGGTCCCAACACATACCAACTACTGCGCACAATCTATCACCACCCTATTAGGGCTCAGCAAATCCATGCCGATGATAACCTTGTTCCCACGTAACAGAATAGGAACCAAATCCACGAGGTAACGCTCATCATACAACCTCAAAACCCAATCTCTAAAAACTACTAATGCGCGGATAGATCAATCGTCAGCAATCTCAACCTCTAAAGGGCAATCCAACATGCCCAAAGACTTAGAAAACCTCTTGCTGAGAGTAAGAGAGACAAATGATCGGGTAGCCTCGAAGTCAAATAACACCTGTACTGGGATGTCGTTCACATGAACGATCCTAAACAAAACACATAAATATCATAACCAACATGTAATAAAACATACACGTCACCACATCCGATGCAGCACACGCCTCCTAGACGGTCAGCTGGAAGGCTTGGCTCCTCACCACTGGAGCCTCTTGTTGGATTAGGTGTCTAAGTTCATAACTATTTATGGAATGGACTTGACCCGATTAGCATGGTCCATTTGGGTTGCATGGCATCATGCATTTGGATAGACTAAAATAAAAGAAATAACACTTAAGGCTTATTAATATATTTTAAGTTCTAATATATTAATAATATTATTTAATTAGTATTGATCAAGAATTAATTTGGAATTAATTAAGTGATCAAAAGAAGACTAATTAAATATATGGGCTGATTGTTTAAATCATTCATACTTATATTGTGGGCTAGTGCTACATGGATTATCAAGTTGGGCTAAAACCCATAGGATGCTTCATGGAGGCTCCATGGTGTCTATAGAACCCATGGGTCATGGAAATGAAAATTCATGAGAATTAGGGTTTATAGGGTGTAACCCTAATTGTAACACGCTATATAAGCATCACTTTGTTCACCAAAATCGACTACTAAGACATACAAGTGAGGGCTACCCAATTTCTAAGTGTTCTTCATTTCTCTCTAAGTTATTCCAAGTGTATTTGGTGTTGTGTGAGATATTTGAGGCATAGCACTTGAGGTGCTAGGCTCACAAGGTTTTCAAGGAATCCAATCTACTACAAGGTATGTTTTCTTGCTTACTTTTATGGTTAAAAGTTCCCCATGTATGCTAGATAGGATATAAACCTTGGAAAAACAAATTTTGCATGTATCATAGATAAAACATAGATCCAAGGTTTCTAGGGTTGCATGTACACCATAAGAGTATTAGAATGCTCAAAACCCTTCACCTCTTTCATGCCCTGTCGGCCATCCGTGATCTGCAGGGTCGCTGGAGCTGGCGCCGCCACTGCCGCTCCTGATGTCAGTCGAGGGCAGTTGGCATTTTTATGGCCCCTCTTATTGCAATGAACGCAAATCAGGTATGAAATCTGAATGGTAGGGGTAAGAGATGTATAATCCTTGTTAAAGTGCATAGTCTTACAGAACTTTTAGTAGCCCGATCCCCCAGCTCTACAGACTCTATCAAGCGGCCCGACGTATTTCCTGCAGAGGCCCCAACCATACTAGCCCTTCGATATATAGTCAGATCCCTTGGGTTTCTTCCCCAAAACCCCAATAACCTACCCAGCCTCCTCCTTTCTCTTCTAGAGGTGCTCTATGTCAATCTCTTTCTCCTCTCTCTGGCTATCATATCATTCAAATTTGGACATGCCTGATCGGTCTATATTTATAGCATAATAAATTGTACTAAATATGTTGAATTGATGCATAATTGTCCAAGAATGGCACTACTTTGATGAAATGTTGAACATTATGTGCAGGAAACTACTTAGTGCTAAAGTGGGTGGAACCTTCAAGAAAAACGAGCAAAATGAAGCTAGCAAACATGGGAGACGGATTGGTAAAAGAATGAAGAAAAATGGTGCAAAGAAATTTTACCACTCTTCAATGTTTTGATCATATCTCAAGATCAAGAGCTCCAATTAACATGAATGAATAAGTTCTGGAAACTAGAAACAATTTCCTACAACTCTCGTGTTTTGCGTTTTTACTTATTCAACCATTTTTATCACCAAAAAGAGGGAAATAAATATGAGAGACTTCCTAGAACGAGTCTAGGACGCCCCCTAGAATGCCTACCCGTTTTAGGCCATTTTCAAGTGCAAATCAAGGATGACCGAAGGCATGTAAAATGCCACAAAGGACGCAAAGACGTCCTACCTGACGTCAAGGACGCCTACTAGGACGCCGATGCGACAAAAGATCCGAAAATTAGTTTTTAGCTCCTATTTAAGGGAGATTAAACCCTAACCGACTTTGGACTTCTCCCCTGCATTTTTCCATAGTTTTGGAAGGTTCCAAACCCATTCAAACTTTCTCCAAATGTGTTTTTGATCATCAATTTCTGAATCTGAGGCTACAAATCATCAAATTCATTATCATTAAACGTTTGAAGATTGTTCAACCAACGAATCTACATCAATTCCATCCAGCTCCAAATTTGATTACGTCATCCCCGGGGTTTCATTGTTCCATAGTTGATTCATCATTAAACTTCATTAGTTTTATGATTTCAAGTTGGTTTTTGAATTTTAGTATAAATTCCATTCTTTATATTGAAGTTGTGTGTTTTGTTAATCATATGGAAGGCTAAACCACCTAGGTTCCTTTCAGGAACATTGTAGGATGTTAGGATGAACAAGTTTCATTCTTAAATTTATGATTTTTGCTTATAGTAATTGGAGTTGGGTTTTCTTATTGTTTGATATTGCAAGTAAGATAGTATATTGTTAACTCACTAATCATTTTGAATTCAAGTAGTTTAAGAACTCAGATGATCAGTTGAACCCACAAACATTATTCTAAATTTGTAGTATTATATACTCAACATTGTAATAGGTAATCGTAAGACACATTATCACCAAACTAGTAGTTGTTCCTAATCCAATTAGACATAGGGAGTAAGACTACTAGTTGGGATAACATATTGTGTGCTAAAAATTATTTGTTGCAAGTTAATCATCCTTAATTATGTCTAGGTAATTGAATTGGAATTTTAAGGGAAGAAAAACGTGTAAGTCCAACCATCTAAAGAACTGAACCGAAAGTATCTTGTTTTTTTGTCTCATTGATAGTAGTTTGTTTTAGTAGTTCTTGCATTACCAAGTTTTTAGCTTTTTCATGAACTTTAGTTTAAATAATTTCATGACAATTTCTAATAGTTTTTCGTTAACTATTTCAACACAAAGTTTCATCACAACCTCCTCGTTAATTCGACCCTTGCTTACCCTAGCTATCTAGTATGTGAGGTTTATTTTTGACGAGACAACGACATCGATCAAAATTTGGCATCGTTAACGGAGAGATTGTGCACTTAAACAATTATGTTAAAGTAGTCATTACATTTTTTTTCTTTGTTTTATTTCTTGTTTAGAATCTTCACTCTTTTATTGTGTTTTTTTGTAGGGACAGACGTGAATAGAGGAATACACTTACATGAATCAAGATATATGGTTGGGGAACGAAAATTCGGGCCAATATCAGTACTATAATGATCCATACAATGATTCATTTAATGATGATCCATACGATGATCAATATGATGATGATTATCGGTGGACTGGAAATTCAACTCAAAGCCATCACCATGAATCATCTTGTTTTTTGGACAACCAAGAATCATACAACTCTTCATTCAGCAAAACGTTTGATCACATGTTGTACATGTTGAATGAAACCTTTAACAAAGAAGAAGACAACGCCAGGTCAAGTTCAGTTATTAAAAAGCAATTAAAACATATAGCCGAGTAACTAAATCAACAACTTTCAGACAATATTTCAATGATCAGGAGACTGAGAGTATTTCTGAAGGTATTTGATAACAAAGGGCATAAACTTACACCACACGAACTACAGCTTGTAGTGGAGGCTTATGTATATTTAAATGATCAGGAGACTGCGAGTATTTCTGAAATCAAAGAAGTTAAAATTGAATTGGATAAGTATAATGAAGATTTTAATGAGTTGGAAGAGTCCAAATTTGGGGAAGGGTTTGTGGAGGCAAATACCACCCCCTACTCAACAATTTTGAAAAAAACCCGAAATACAACTTCTTGTTGCAACAAATTCTAAAAAAATTTCCAAATACAAACACATAAATGTAATCATTGATCTTCCCTTTTTGGAAACCATTTATGCTCCAATTAGTAGTTGGGAAGATGCAATTGATATGATATTTGGAAAACATAAATTGAGACTCCTATTATTTGGACCTACTAATGATCCTCTAATCAATGGTGAACTATTTTTGATCAATACTATCGATGATTATGTTTATGAGCATACCGCAAATATGCTCTATGACACCACCCACAATTTGGAGAAACCTTTACCTTGTGACAGGTTAATAGAGTTGAATGAGATCAGGTGTCAAAAAGTGAAGAAAAAATTATGGACCACAAAATATGATGTCGCACTTACCCATAAATCAAAGATGAAGGTGTTTCATGATACCAAACATCGAGTCAAGAAGTCTAGTAATACAAATTATGTTTGGTTGTTCAAATCAAGGTTTAAGCGTCATCATGGAAAGATTAACGAAAAAATGGTTTATTTATACAAGGTAAAAGAATGCATTCCACATGATCTGATTCGTCAAAGTACGGTGAACGACCTCATGGATGACTTTCAAGGAAGTCCACTAACATATGGTCCTCCATAGACATCGGTACAGGTAACCTGTTTGGCTGAAGACATTAAACTTAGCACTATTACGGGAGGCAACCCGTGAACTTTTTGGGTATGCTCACTGCAAACCCTCATGACACTTCACCCATCCACTAGGGGTAACCTAGGCATTTAGTAGGCTTGTTGCACTTGCCAAGTGGAATCGCGGACCCCCGCAAAATTGAGGGCTAGTTAGTGTGGTTTATTTTTATTTGATTTGATTTGTGTGCTTATAGTTTTTTTTCTTATTGTTTTGGGTCTTTATCTTTTTATGCGTTGAGGATGATGCAAGACTTAATGTTGGGGAGGGGGTGTACACAAGAAAAAGATGGAGGATTTAAGAAAGAAGTGATTTAAAACAAAAAATCATAATTATTCGATGTTTATTCTGGCATAAGGAAACATTATGTAATTACCTCCATGTAGTGAATTTTTTTTTAGGAAATCAAGACCGCCTCTACTATCGGTACCATCAGGTGTGTCGTCCTCCTCATTTGTATTTTTATCTGCATTATTTTTGATGACTTTTATTTGGATAATCAATTTGGAATGAATGTATTATACCTTAAATTATTCCTTGATAATCTAATTCCATCAAGTTTGGCCACCATGAAATTTGTGATGACTTAGTAGCTTCTTTATGTCTTGAATGTAACTCATCAAGATGGAAAATTATAGGAGATTCATACATAGAGTCATAATATATAATTAATGTTGATTTTGTGGGTTGCTCAGCCAATTTGGAAATATTTATATTTATCTAAAAATTGTTATCTGAAATACTCACGTTTGAAAAATGAGCGTTTTTGGCTCTAGCCTACGATCTTTCAATTGAGGACCCAATCGAACAATATGTGTCATCATGCTCTGAGTACTTGGTCTTAATTAGTCCTACGCCTATGGGGTTAGGAGGGGACTATTATTGTTTTCACACAACCAAAACGCATCAGAAGACATTAAAGAACTTCCAAGTAGCTATATTCAAGCTCAAGTCAAGTACAAAGATGATCAAATCCAATGAAGATATCAAAAAAGGTGAAGAATGCACAATCAAGATAAATATGAAGAAAGGTTCAAGTTGAAGACATTGTATAAAACAATATGTGACCCCTTGATAGAGAGAGTGTATGGCATGGTCCATTAAGTGTTACTGACCACGCTAATTATGTTAGTGAACCTTGAAAACGGGACTTTGGCAATTAGTTCAACTGATTACTCATGAAGTTTATTATTGGAAAGGGTTTAAAAAGTGGAGGGTTTCAAACAACAAAGTAAAATAAACATAACATGTATTTTGTTTAAAAGTTCGGATAAGCAACTAATAATCCCCAAAATAAATATATTGAGCTTATTGAATAGTTTTTTATAAGGTGTACGAAATTCGTGATTCCATTGAGTTTTTTCTTAGGATAAGAGGTAAGCATATGTTGATTATTTCAGGCCAACCTCAGGACGAGTTTGGAATAAAGTTGGGGAGGTTTGATTGGTCTATATTTATAGCATAATAAATTGTACTAAATATGTTAAATTGATGCATAATTTTCCAAGAATGGCACTACTTTGATGAAATCTTGAACATTATGTGCAGGAAACTACTTAGTGCTAAAGTAGGTGGAACCTGCAAGAAAAACGAGCAAAATGAAGCTAACAAACATGTGAAACGAATTGGTAAATGAATGAAGAAAAATGGTGCTGAGAAATTTGAGCACTCTTCAATGTTTTAATCATATCTCAAGATCAAAAGCTCCAACTAACATGAATGAAGAAGTACTGGAAACTAGACAAAATTTCCTACAACTTTCATGTTTTGAGTTTTTACTTATTCAACCATTTTTATCACCAAAAGAGGGCAACAAATATGAGAGACGTCCTAGAACGCATCTAGGACGCCCCCCAGAACGCCTACCCATTTTAGGACATTTTCAAGTGCAAATCAAGGATGACCGAAGGCATGTAAAACGCCACAAAGGACGCAAAGACGTCTTACCTGACGTCTAGGATGCCTACTAGAACGCCGACGCAGAAAAGACCCAAAAATCAGTTTTTTAGCACCTATTTAAGGGAGATTAAACCCTAATCGACTTTGGACTTCTCCCCTGCATTTTTCCACAGTTTTGGAAAGTTCCAAACACATTCAAACCTTCTCCAAATGCATTTTTGATCATCGATTTCTGAATCTAAGGCTACAAATCATCAAATTCATTATCATTCAACATTTAAAGATTGTTCAACCAGCAAATCTACATCAATTCCATCAAGCTCCAAATTTGATTACCTCATCCCCAAGGTTTCATCATTCCATTCTTGATTGATCATTAAAATTCATTTGTTTTATGATTTCTAGTTGGTTTTTGAATTTTAGTATAAATTCCATTGTTTATATTGAAGTTGTGTGTTTTGTTAATCATATGGAAGGCTAAACCACCTAGGTTAGATACGAGAACGTTGTAGGATGTTAGGATGAACAAGTTTTGATTATTACTTTTATTCTAGTTAATTTCAGTTATTGTTTAATTCCTAAATTTATGATTTTTACTGATAGTAATTGGAGTTGGGTTTTCTTATTGTCTGATATTGCAACTAAGATAGTGTATTATTAATTCACTAATCATTCTGAATTCAAGTAGTTTAGGAACTAAGATGATCAGTTGAACCCACATACATTATTCCAAATTTGTAGTATTATATACTCAACATTCTAATAGGTAATCGTAAGACACATTATCGCCAAACCAGTAGTTGTTCCTAATCCAATTAGACATAGAGAGTAAGACAACTAGTTAGGATAACATATTGTGTGCTAAAAATTATTTGTTGCATGTTAATCAACCTTAATTATGTCTAGGTAATTAAATTGGAATTTTAAGAGAAGAAAAACATGTAAGTCCAACCAATTGAAGAACTGAACCAGAAATATCTTGTTTTTTTCTCATTGATAGTAGTTTGTTTTAATAGTTCTTGCATTACCAAGGTTTTAGCTTTTTCATGAACTTTTATTTTAAATAATTTCATGACAATTTATAGTCGTTTTTCATCAACACAAAGATTGACCACAACCTCCTCGTGGATTCGACCCCTACTTACCCTAGCTAGCTATCTAGTGTGTGTTTGAGGTTTATTTTTGACCAAGACAACGGCATCAATCAATTTAGAGTAGCTTACATGTTTCTGGATGTCAGCCCTCAACATGTTGTGGTACTAGTTCTTCTTAATCTCCTCGTCCCCTGCATACCAAGGCACTAGTAAGGCTCTCTCCCTGAACATGGCGGTAATCTCCACCACCGAATCAGTAATCTGCCTTATATCCAGAAATTCTCTGGCAAGCTGCTAAAGCTCCACAACTGGTGCAAACTCAACCCTAAACCTAGTCACAAAGTCTGACAAGGTCATAGCCTCAATGTCTGGGGCTCCCAACGAATCACGGACCGCCTCCCACCAATATCTAGCTCTGTCCCTCAAACAAACTGCATCATATTGGACCTTCGACCCCACAGGGTAGAAGCTCGTCAACTAAGCAGACTCCATGTCAGCACTCCACCTCCTGGCCACAATGGGATCCTTCACCCCGTGAAAGTCTGGCCCACCACATCCCCTGAAATCCATGAAGGAGTGTGTGTGTGTGTGTGTCCCTATCTAGCCAGATGTCATGCCACTTCTAAATGCCCTAAGGCGCTCCTCCATCAGCTCGATGATCCCTTCCTTGATCGACCTGAAAATCACCGGGGCCACCTCAAGGATGCCTCTTGTAATGTCAGATGCGATGAAATCGCGTAGTCCGCCATCTACTGGCTCAGAACCTACACCCAAGCCTGAACCTGAACCTGAACCTGTCCCAGACCCTAAACCTCCTACTTCGTAATGTTTCACCATAATTCTGAAACAAAACACATAATCATCAGATTCATACATTACCTCGAGAGGTATCACAAACTCTACAAGTTCCTTGGTTCTATCTTATCCCTCCTTGATTCGGGTATTAATCCTTTGCTTTCAGTAGTACGGGCCCATACTACCTTCCACATCTATCTGTACTTTCCTCAAGGATTGCCTTGACTTTACCAAGTCCCTTTCACTACTACTGCTCGCTGCACTAATCTCATCCAAGGCTTACCCTAGGGCAACTCTCCGACCTACTCTCCGCCCTCAACTACATAAGAAATCCCTGCTACCTTTACCTAAGTAGCTCGTGAATACCATTACAAATTACTAAGACCAGATACTTCATCGAATGAGAGATCCTACCCTATAATGGTTGGACTCAAACAAAAGCTACGAAATAGGGCTAGACCTAACCTTCTAAAATTATTTAGTCCTCACAATATATAACTTAAGGTATTCATTTACTAATTAGTTAAAGATAACTAGAACTCCTAAAAGCACAGAGCAAGCAACATTCGGGCATTGGGTAACCAAACCAAGCATATCCTATTCATGCAATCATATCACTGACTAATCAGATCTAGCATGTAATTCATTAAGCACATATCGCAGTTACATAAGGCATCTTCGTAGATCCTTAGTCCTAAAATAGCATGTAGTTCTCACACACATATAATTGGCATATAAGGCATCCTTCCTAGATCCTCAACCCTAATCTAGCATGCAGATCTCATAATCATATTATATATATATATATATATATATATATATATATATATATATATATATATATATATATATATATATATATATATATATATATATATATATCATAACAAACATGTATGGGTATCTTAGGGAAAACTTACTTGAGTTTGGCCGATTACCGGGGTGTCCGACCTACCTCTTGTCAAGCATATTTTGGTGCTCGACCTACCCTACCAGGCATATCTAGGTGCTTGACTTACCCTCCGGTTTATTTCAACCGGCTACAAGGACTATTTCACCCCTACCAGTACAAACATAGCATAACATACTGTCAAGCATATCCGGGTGCCCAACCTACCCTGCCGGTATATCTCAACCTGGTTCGGGGACTAGTCCCCTTCCTACCAC